TCTCGAAGCCGACGGAGCCAAGACCCGAGCAATGGGAGGAGATTCTGACCGGAACCCGCTGGCATTGTCGTTAAGAGCGGCTCTCGGAGTTGAGCTAAGTGGCGGGTAATAGCTTCGTGTTTCTGCTGCTCAGAAAAGAGAAAAATAAATTAGTTTCTGATGCATCGTGTTCAGTCTCTCCTGAAATGACTTCATCACCTGGCCGTGTTCTGTGATCATTTGTATGTTGAAGAGGACCCCGAGCCCGGTTCCCAGGGAATTCATACATCAGAGACCAGGTGGAGCGTTCCATAGCCTTCATCACTTGAGTCTTTTCTAAAGCGGCAGAGATTGGATTCTCTTTTGATATTAATAGGTTTTTGTGATTCGAGTGTTATCATGTATCTCTCTCATGTTTTAAAGTTTTCATCTGTAACCTCGAAGGCTTTAGCCACCTAAGTTCCAAGGCGAGCACATCAGCCGAAAATCCCATTGTTGTCCCTGCAAACAGAAACCTTTATACACAGTGATCCTGGCCCCCTCCCTGCCGCCTCTGGAGACATTAATCCCAAATATTCACAGACATCACAGAAGCTCATGCAGGAGTAGAGAGCCCCCCGCCCCGTCTGCCCTCATGATGGGGTGAGCGTTGCGGGGGTGGGGTGGGGGGGACACACCTGAGCAAGACCCACGCATGTGTAGTGATATTTTTGTTGTTGTTATCCTCACCCAAGGATATTTTTCCATTGAAAAATTTTTAGAAAGAGTGGAAGGGAGAGGGAAAGACAGAAACATCGATGTGAGAGAAACACATTGATTGGTTGCCTCCTGCCCGTGCCCCGACCAGGGCCCAGGCCGGGGAGGAGCCTGCAACTAAGGTACCTGCCCTTGACCGGAATCGAACCCGGGATCCTTTGGATCCTCAGGCTGACGCTCTATCTACTGAGCCAAACCTTCTAGGGCAGTGGTTCTCAACCTTCCTAATGCCTCGACCCTTTAATACCATTCCTCATGTTGTGGTGACCCCCCAACCATAAAATTATTTTTGTTGCTACTTCATAGCTGTAATCTTGCTACTGTTATGAATCGTAACGTAAATATCTGATATGCAGGATGTATTTTCATTGTTAAAAATTGAACATAAAGCATAGTGATTAATCACAAAAACAATATGTAATTATATATGTGTTTTCCGATGGTCTTAGGCGACCCCTGTGAAAGGGTCGTTCGAACCCCAAAGGGGTCGCAACCCACAGGTTGAGAACCGCTGTTCTGGGGCATGTCTAGTGATCTTTAAGTGCCACACTGTTTTGATTTATTTATGTGAAGTGGTTTCTTTAAACTCTGACCCACACCAATGAATTAGGAGTCAGTGCGGTGCCACTTCATGAACAAGGACACAGAAGCACATGAAGGAGCAGGCTCTGGTCACGTGGCGCGTGGGGAAGTCAGGGTGCAGCCCTGGCAGCGGCTCCAGGGTGTGCGCGCACGGTCCTGTGCTCCTGGGGCCGCCTGTGCCCCATCATGCCGGCAGCATCCTCTCTGTCAGCTGAAGGCGCCGCCCGCCTGGTCGAGGGCACCTGGCCGTCGGGGATCAGACTCAGGACCTGACTTGATCCTCGAGTCCCAGGAAGGCCCCTCTGCAGAGTCCGTGCCTGGGGGTTGAGTCCCCAGGACATGTCTGTCGGACTGGTTAGTTAGCATGTCTAGTGGCGTTAACCCTCCCTGACGCCGTGTCTTGGCAACTCTTTTTGTTTTCCTAATGCTTTTTTCACTGATTTTTAGAGAGAAAGGCGGAAGGGAGAAGGAAGGAGGGAGAGAAAGAGAGAGAAACATTGATGTGAGAGCAGAACATTGACCAGCTGCCTCCTGCACGATCCCCACCAAGGATAGAGCCCACGACCCAGGCACCTGCCCCGATAGGGAATCAGGACAGGCCCAACCAGCAGCCACACCGGCCAGGACATGGTGACTCTACTGTGAGGCAGATGAGCAGGGGGGACTGTACAGCTTAGGTTTCATAGTATCTTTCCCCAAGAAACTTCTAGTCACCCTTCCGAGGATCCCGTAGGGATGACGTCGTAGGACCGTAGGGTGCCGGAGAAAAGGAGAAAGGGCTGAAGCCGCGTAGCCCACGAGTGTTAGTATGAGGGCTCGGTTCATCCCTTAGGGCAGCCTATAGGTTCGCGTGTTTCTCAGGCGTCTGGCGTTCCAGGCGCAAAGCCGTTAGCTTTCGTCGTGTGAGGTGCGGAGCGTGGATGGTGGGTTGCGGAGCCCTCCCGCACCTCAGAGCCGGGAGGTTTGCTTTGCAGGTTTGCTGTGTCGGTCGCTCTGATTAGAAGACTGGGGCGCAGCTCACTGGTCTCTGTGAAAGTGCTCCACGCAGATTCTGGCTGGGGTTCAGGACCCTCTGCCCTTGGAGCCGTTACCTGAAGTGCATCCATCAGCGGAAGAATAAATGAGGAAGCCCCTTGGAGAAGAGGAGCGAGCAGGTGCGGGAAGGGCTGGGTGTCCTGCGGACCTCGGCTCTGCGGTCGGGGTTTCCAGGCCTCCGCACAGGGAGCATCCCCGTCAAGGCCAGGCTCTCCGAGGCTGCAGGAAGGAGGCTGCTCTGCACGCTGAGGGACTGCTCCTCTGAAATGAGCCAGCAAGCGAGAGCCCAGAAGAAAAATGAGTGTGTATACATTCATTTCAGACAGCGTTGCACGAGTCCAGACTCAGCCTTGCCAATGTTTGTCGCCAGAGAAACACAATTAGCAAAAGTCACCGGTGAGGGTTACTTTTAGACAGGAGCCACGTCTTCATCGGAATGAAGCCGACTTCCTGCCCGCTGATGAGTTATGGTAATTAAGTTTCACTTCCTCTGCGCAGGTGGCAATGTTTGCCTTGCAGCCGGCATCACACTTACGAAACGGCTTCAAAGTTCAACAATAAGACCTAAAAAATAATCCCAAACAACCAACAAATTAATGTCCTTTGTCATACCGGTTCTCAGACCTTAAATGATTCCACATATAAATATTCTCCCCTGCCTCCGGATAGTAATTTCATCTTTGGCCAAAAGCTGTTCCAGAGACTTCTGCCACGGAATAAAAGGTTGGGTGGACTTACACATTTCATTTTACTTTCTGTCTTATTACTGGTACCTTGGAAGCCAGTTGAATTACACTATTGACATGTTCAGAATTGGCGCTTTATAACCTAGGTTTAATTAATGCAGGGCTCCCCGGCTGTGCTCTCTGCGGGAATCCTTAGGTTTCTGAGTGCTCTGAGGGGGCGATTCTTTAATTAGGGCTTGCTGCATCTTATTCATCCTGCTTTATAGGGGGTGTCCCCTGGGAAGTGAGCATTCTGGTTGGGCCCCTGGCGTCTGCTTGTTACAGTCAGAACTGCATGCTCCTTGCATTTCTGGAACCGGTTTTCCCTCCCTCCACTGCCCCTCGTGTCTGAGTATAAGCAGATCCCTAACTCCCTGAGGGCCCTGCGACCTTCAGCTCCACGGACGCTGGGCTTTGGCACTGAACACTGAGCGAGGGTGGGGATTTGGAGTCTGGAAGTCACTAAGCTGGGCTCAGGAGACCTGGACTTCCTGCACAGTGACTGTCACACACCTGCTCAGTCAGAGCTGCCGGCCACAGCGAGGTGGCGCCGTTACTCCCTGCAGCTCGGAACCTGGGGATGACTGAGCCCGCTCCTGCCTCTGACCTTTGACGGGGATGGAACGCTACCCGCTTCCCGGAGCAGAAGCAGGATCCCCGGTGGCTGCCATTCCAGGGGCCTGCCCAGGCCTGCAGGGAGACGTGCTGGAAGGAGGCGACCGGGAGGGAACCCGCCGGGCCCGTCACATGAGGAAGCCCGCCTTCCCAAGTGGCCAAGGCCGTGGAGTAATACCCTGCCCCCTGCAAGGCTGAGCTGGGGAAGGTCCTGGGTGCGAGACAGAAGCAGTTCATGCAGCTGCTGTGGCGATCAGAGAAATGCCAGCACATTCCCCCAGCCGCGAGGGGAGGGCCGTGGGGGAAATGCAGGGAGCTCCTCCAGCGGGAAAGACTACAGTAAGCGAGCGTGTCCCCTGCCTCTGAGAGTGACTGCCATCTTCGTGACCCGCCCCTGAGGAAGGGAGCACAGGGCAGGGAAACCCGAGCACGTCCCACTCCGGAGGGTTAGGAATCCTTCCCGAGGCCCTTCCGCTCCACGAGAGCTGGGCGAGTCCCTAACGCAGGTCCCCTCGCAGGGTTCAAAGGCGCCAGCGAAGGTCCAGCCAAACTCGTGCTGAGTGTCCTTAGGGCTGTTGTGTGAATACCTTCACAGGAACACCCAGCGTGGGTGCTGGGGTGGAGTCCGGCAGGGCTGTGGCTGCACGTCCGTGGGCACTGACTCGCCCTCAGGGGCGTCCCCCCAGGAGGAAACACATGCCGGACCCTCACAGGGGCCCCTTCCCCACATCACACCCCTCATTCCAAGTTCCTTTTACTCGGAGCGGCTCCCAGGAGAAGGCTCTCTGCCCCATGACGTGGTCACGTTCCGCCTCACATGCAGCTGTGCCCTTTCCCCCACGTGGGCTGGGAATCCCTTCTCCGGTGTGCTCACGCTCTGAACGGAGTACTCGCCAGTCACATGCAAAGGCGTCGCCGTAGAGCGAGGGAGCGTGTGTCTGTGGAAAAGAAATCACAGTGTTTGCAGAAGGTGCCATGTCTCTCAGAGCTTAACATGCACAGAGCCCGTGGCTGGGCGCTCCCGCTCCGTGCAGACACACACACGGGTGTGCTGTGGCCGGATCCATGTCCCAGCGAAAGCGTCTGGTCGGCAGTTACAACGTGCACAGGGAGTTGGGAACTTGTGTAAGGACACACCCAGGTTCCCACCAGCATCTCTCTCTGCAGGGGAGATCGGAGAACCAAGTTGGGGGTGCTGAGTTCATTTAAAATGCTCCAATTTTGTGAAAGAAGAATGCATCAAAGTATTACTTGTGCCGTTGAAAGTTAACATTAACAATGTCTTGAAATGACTTTCTTGTACCAGATGTTCCAAAATTCCCCAAAGAAAAGATCGAGCCCCTTGAAGTGGAGGAGGGAGACCCCCTGGTCCTGCCCTGCAACCCGCCCACGGGGCTGCCCCCGCTGCACATCTACTGGATGAACATAGGTGAGTGGGGTCTGCTTCACCCATGCATGTCAGGTGACACACTGGAGCCGAAGATAAGATATAATATCAGGTTATCACTGTGGAGCCAAACACAGTTAGAAACTACCCTCCTAGAGTTTGCTCCAGGTTTTAAATACACACTTCGGGGTGTCCGTGAAAACACTAGACAACCACCAAACAGATCCCGTAAGCTTGGCACACCTGAAGAGCGTGCAGGCCAGTGATAGGACGAGGAGCGTCTGGGAGGAGGTCCTCCCTGTGTCCAACAACCTGCCTACCTTGGACAGCGCCCACTCACTCACCTTGGACAGCACCCACTCACTCACCTTTGGGACAGCACCCATGTCAGGGCCCAGCACAACCAGTATCTACTTGTGAGCATTATATTTCTTTTTTAAAAAAAAAATCTTGCCGAAACCGGTTTGGCTCAGTGGATAGAGTGTCGGCCTGCGGACTGAGGGGTCCCAGGTTCGATTCCGGTCAAGGGCATGTACCTGGGTTGCGGGCACATCCCCAGTAGGAGATGTGCAGGATGCAGCTGATCAATGTTTCTCTCTCATCGATGTTTCTAACTCTCTATCTCTCTCCCTTCCTCTCTGTAAAAAATCAATAAAATATATTTTTAAAAAAATCTTTATTGATTTTAGAGAAGAAGGGAGAGGGAGAGAGAATCATTGATCGGCTGCCTCCTGCATGTTCCCTACTGGGGATCAAGCCCACAACCAGGACATGTACCCTGACCTGGAATTGAAATGTGACCTCCTGGTTCCTAGGTCACTGCTCAACTACTGAGCCTCACTGGACAGTGTTATATTTCTGTTTTAGTAATGATTTCACCTGCCACATGCAGTGAAATAATGGAAAAGTCAAGAAACTGAAAAAGGTAAAGAGAGATGAGATTATTTATTTATAATCCTCACCTGAGGTAGGATTGTATTGATTTGAGAGAGAGAGAGGAAAGGAGAGGAAAAAGGAGAGAGAGAGAGAGAGAGAGAGAGAGAGAGAGAGAGAGAGAAACATCCATGTGAGAGTGAAATATCAGTTGGTTGCCTCCCGCATGTGCCCCAATCAGGGATCAAACT